CCCCAAAACCCCAAAACCCCAAAACCCCAAAACCCCAAAACCCCATAATGATTAAATTCATATAAATTTTATAGATATAGTATTGATGTTCAAATCTAATAATATAATTTTTAACATATAATCGTAATAAAAATAAGATGGAATTTCTGCTTGGGAAAAAATTTAAGAAAAATAAAGGTACTGAGTCGTCAGGCAAGGCATCTACCAAGGAAGATGAGAAGATTAGAAAGCAGTTGGAAAAAGAAGTTAAGAAGCAGGAGAAGATCAATACCAAGAACAAGTCTGAAAATCTAAAGCAAATAAGCCAAGTTTCAACCACTTCATCGCAGTCAAACTCATTAAACACTTCAGGTGTTGAGACATCAGATAATATCCCCGATAGTGAAGGCGGTAAATATCACGTGTCAGAAATCATCAAAGTCATTATTCCACAAAACAAGACCTACGACCTTCAAATAGAGTTCCTAGACAATAACTCAAAGAATTCATCATCGATGTGGGCAATTGACGGAATGCTGATAGATGAGGAATTATTGTACGCGGAGGATTAAGAGGCAGACAGGATTTACCAAGAATTGAAGGCTAGGTCCTTCAGAAGGAGAAAGATGGAGGAGAGTGAAAATAGACTCTCCAATGCCATGATGCACGATCAAGAGATTGAAGAGGAAGATGATAAACCTAATGAGCCAAAACTGAGTTAAAGCAACTAATCATTTGAGAAGATCAAGGCTTTTATTAAAAAGTCGAATCAGCAAGAAAAACTAGAATTCACCTAGGGTCTGCTTAACTTTGCAAACAAGATCGATAAGAAGTTCTTGACTGAGGGTCTTCTCCCTAACCTAGAAATCCTGGTAATTACTACTTTGCTTAATTAAACATTACAATTAGGCTAAGGAGAATTAAGACATCAAGAAGGCTCTGCTTGACTAGTTTATTCCTTTGATATCTTACATCAGAGAGTAATGCGGGCAAGATGGCTATGACAAGACTGTCAAGACTATCTTCCCGCTCTTGGATGAATTGCTGTATGACGGCAAGGAGCAGACCAGAGACAAAGCTATCTAGGTGCTTCTAGATATCAGAAATGTGCTGCAGCAAAAGGAAAACGACTATGTGATGAATTTGACTTTGAAACTAGCACATGATGACAATGAAACTAATAGAACATCTGCTCTAAAGATATTGAATGAACTTGCCCCTGACATGGGTTAAACACTTTGTGAGTCTTACATTGTTCCTGAAATTAAGAGTCTGGGTATTGATGAGAGTGTTGTAGTAAGATAAACTGTGGCAAAGAATCTTTTAAATACTTCTAAGATTATCTCTCTTGATTACTTTACTCAGCACATTTTTCCACTATATGATAGATTAGCTTAAGATAAAGATGAAAAAGTTAGGAAAACTTGCGCAGAAGTCGTAGCAGATATCGCTGCAGTCAGTCCTTTAGATAAGAAGGGAGAAGCACTTTCAGATCTTTACTATAGATTCCTGAAAGACCCAACCTCTAAAATAGTTAGAGGTACAGCCTTTCAGAATATTGGACCATTCATTGCTGAGTTGAAAGAGATGAAGACTGTCGATCCCAGAATTATAGATTTCTATGTTTCAACCACTGAGAACTCCTCTAATAAAGACGTCTGTTACTACTCTTCGTTTAACTTCCCTGCCTTTATCTACACCATGGGTAAAGATAACTGGGAGATTTTTAGAAAGATTTACATCAAGCTGAGTAAATTCAACGATGGCAGGATAAAGAAGACTCTCGCTCATTCTATTCATGAGTTAGCAAGGATACTTGGCCCTGAAATCACTGAGGAGGATCTAGTGCCAGTAATGGAGAAATTCCTCAGTTATAATGTTAATGAAATCAAGATTGGTGCTTTGAAAAACTTGCATATATTCTTAGCAGAAGTCAATCCTGAAAACAGGGGAGTATTTATTAAGTACATTATGCAGACCTATGATGATTTCCAAAATGACTGGAGAGGTAAGATGGTCTTGGCTCAAAACCTTGGCAAATTTGCTTAACTTTTTGACCAAGAAACTGTATACAACTCCTTCTTGCAAATGTTCTTCAAATTCTGTTATGATTAAGTTGCTAAGGTCAGTGAGACTGCCTCTACCAGTTTAGTATATATCCTTGAGAAATTCCAAGGTGACCTACATAAATAAGATTCAATTGTAAAAGTAGTCAAGAAGAATTTCCTACATGCTAAGACCTTTAAGAGAAGACAGCTATTCGTTCTTATGTGTGGCGAGGCGATGAGCAAGAAGGAACTGTTTGAAAGACACTTCAAATCTGACATGCTAGCGATGGTGAATGATAAAGTCTCGAATGTTAGAATGTCACTGGCTAAAGTACTTAGACATCATTTCATTAACTAAATAAATGGTAACTCAATGATTTGTTTATGAACCAATTTTAGGTGCCTTTGTGTTTGACATTGAAGTTAATGATGCTGTTAGAATTCTTAAGAAAGATAAGGCTCTGGATGTTAGGTAACATGTAAGTGATATCCAGACATTCCCAATGAATGAGGACAAAGAGTTAGTGATGACCGAGTATCTAGATAGATTATCAACTTTAAATAACATAATGGCTGACTCTGTCTCTGATCAAGAAGAATAAGAAGTGGAGAAGCAAGTTCATCTCTCATAGATAATCTAGGATAGCAATAACTAGGCTCATAGCAATGACTCACCCAATCGAGTTTTGCAAACATCAGACACTAGTTCTCACAGCAGCAGTGAAGTCTCAGACCTAAATCTGAGCATAAATTCTTCAAATAGTAATGAGGAAACTCAGTTAAAGCAAGAATGAAAATGATAGCGATTTGTGAATAGGAGAGAGCTTTGAGATCCAATAATGATTTCATAAGATACTTCTCAAATACAGTGATGAAATGATATGTCTTCAAATATTTTAACATATAAATTTAACTTTATCAATTATTATAAGTCAGTCATTACGTTTCTGAATAATCTCTCAAATTAAAAGCCTTCTTGCTGTTGATATCAGAGTAAGTGTGCTTTAGGTTTTTATCTCTAATCTTGACAGTTGTTTATGCTCTCTCGGTCAATAGATTTTCTAGCTTTACTAGAGTCTTTGGTCTAATTGGTTTTACTGCTGTTTATCTAGTCAAAGATGTCCTTAATCTATCCAATTAGTCTTCACGTGCTTGAATTTGATTCACGTCAGCATATATAATATCTCTCACTCTGGGAGTTGCTGAGGACTAAGGTGCAGTAGACTAGATTCCAAAATCGTAGCCAGATGAGAATGTATTTCTTGCTGAGTACAACTGCTATGCCTCTAGCTTAGGATTGATTCCCATGAAGTTATTATCTCCTTCATTATTTTGATTTAGTACTTGATTCAACTTGCCAGCAGTCCACAGATGATTCTTGTCGAAAGATAGCAAATCTTTGATCTGGTCTCTTCTTTTATTGATGATGATCTTTTCATTCTGGGAAACGACATTCCTAAGTTTCTTCTTGATTTGGAGATCGTTGGAATCGCCGTAGATAGTTGACAAAGATTCCTGCATTTTCCTGTCTCCAGTAACTGCTCTGTGATTCTCAGTACTCTGAACTCTCTCTGTTTCTTCCCCTGAAAATCTCACAGACTCAACTGCCCTCTTTTTACCATTGGATTAAAGAGAAGGTGGTACTATTCGATGAGATCTACCTCCTCCAAAGTAATCATCTCTACTCATTTAATTTCTCATTGTCATTGTGAACTCACCACCACCTCTTGCAGAGAATTTATCTCTAATTTTGACACCAGCCTAAAGATCAATCAACTAACTAGGAGGAGGAGGCTTAACATATTTCTTTTCATTCACATTGAATACCAACTGGTTATTCCCTTCGTTATTAGCCATTGTCATGGTCTTTAATGAATCCTTATAGTTGTCAAATAGCGACTATCTCTTCTTAAATGCCATTAAATTTTAGGATGTTCTAGTCCTATTCATCCTTCTCATTCTTTCAAGGAACTGCTCATCACTTGGGTTCTTAAGTAACTTAGAGCCTATTATCACAGGCTTCATAAGCTTATCTCCTGGTATGTAGTTTTGCTGCAGTTTTTTTCCTTTATGATCTGTAGTAAAGTTGTAATCCAAATCTTAATCCTTTTGACTTCCAGACATATTAGAGAAGTCATCGAACTGTATCTTGTTTAGCATCCTCTTTCTTGACTAACTTTTCATCTATGCTCTTAATCTCTGCTGCTCAAGGATCTTTTGCATTCTAAGATCATCCTTCATTTTTTAAGTCCTAAGCTTATCTACCATTTTATCTTCTTCCACTTCTTCTTGAGGCTTGGGCTTTTCTATGAATTGTTCTAATGGAACACTCTTGTTTGTTTACGGCTTCCCATTATTTACTCCACTCGTTCTTCCCTTTCTTTTAGTACTTATAACTCTTGAAGGATTAATAATACTAGAGTAATCACTCACAGACTGCTAGCCTTTCTTTGGAGACTTTCTAGATGATTTCTAATACCAGATATCCAGCTCCAAATTGGGGATTTCGATTTCTTTCTTTTGAATTGGAACTAAGTTAGAGGACCATTGATCTTTAGGGCATGGAGAGGGTTCTGAAAATTCATTAGGGTCATCAGTGAAACAGCAAGGCTAATCAGGTTTCCTATAAGCGTTCTATATTTATTCATTGTTAATTGATTAAAGCTAACTTACGAACCATCCTATGCTAACTGTGTCTATTGTGTGCTCAATGCAATAAGGCATCTTTTTTTACTCTAATTACTTCAAAAAGAGCTGATAAAACGTCTGCTCTACTAGCATATCGATAACATTTTCAGCAAAGCCCATAGATTCAGGCTGGTAGTTGAAGGTGAGGGGTCTGAGGTCTTGACTTGATTAAGGTCTCATAGTGTTTTGTTAATTCATATTTTCACTTCTTTAAGCCATTTAATTTATATATGAAACAAATAGACCCTTTTTATTTCGATTAAAGAAACATCTTATTTTTCTCATATAATTTCAACCGGGGTTTTGGGGTTTTGGGGTTTTGGGG